TATCTGGAGATGCCACTGCGGATTGAACTTGGGACCTTCTGCATGCAAATTCAAGGCTTTGCCACTGGCCCTTGGCCATGCTTATGGAAATTTAAACATTGCCATGGCGTTCCTGGGAGAAACTTGCTGATGTACACCCACAACATCATTGTTCTGGGGCTCAGGATGAGATCCCACAAAGTGCTGCCATACTTGCTCAAGACGGCATGTTAATTATGATTACCCTACCCTTCACTCCCTTGTTAATAGTTAGTTCCTGTATGGAAGGCACTCCATGGAAGGCACTCCTGTCCTCCTCATCTCACTTTGCTCTCTGGGAAGCAGCATCCTAAAAGGTGCACATGGTTTCAAGGAAAAAAGGATGTGAGCTATCAGCTGGCGAAAGATAAGAAAGTGGAGCATGGAAGAGAGAACCACCCACCACAAGGACTAGAGTAATTCTGTGGTGTTAGGTAACAGAATGGGGCCTCTGCACCCCAGTCCTTGTTGAGCCACTGCTAGTCAAGAGTTCTGGGCTAGAAGAATTCATGGGCTGACTCAGTGTGGTTGAATCAGCTATGCTGAAAACCAAAAACTTCCAAAGCACACACAAGGGAGGCCAGCACACCTTGTGGCACAGAACAAAACAAAAAAACCTAGAATAACTGCAAACCTTGGTTTGGAGCACAATGAAAAGGGAGGCTTGCACTAGTGTGATTTGCTCGGAGCCTGACTTAAGCAAGGGCCACCAATGTGTGAAAAAATGGACCGCAGTGTAACCCAGTAGGGAAAGCTCAATTCTTACACTACAGTGATACCTGAAAGAGCATGTCGATGCTCTTGATTCTGCAAAATGGAACACTGAAGTCATTCATAAACAAGTTAGCTGCAAATCAACAACTGGGTAACAATCAAGTGTTGAAGAGGCTGGACAATTTGTTTTTGAACAGCATGTTGTGGCAATAATACAGGAGTCCTGCCTTCAATGTGACAGCAGAGCAACACAACCCATTTTATACAGCGGCCAGATGCAGTATTTTTGCCATGCTGTGGAACTAAAGGCTTTAAATTAGGGAAAGGGAATGCATGTTCCTCTAGATTTCATCACTGGACTCCAGCAGCCCTATGTAGCATAGCCAATGGACAGCATCTGAAGGACAATAGGTTCCCCTTCCCTGCTTTCAACAGAACCATACAGAGAACACGTACCAACCCCTCAACTTCATCATATGGAGGACCTCAGCCTTCACTTAAAATGGCAAACTAAAAAAACTGTGAGCATTCACCAGTAACAAAAAAAGTGGCACTCTTTATTTTAATAGGAAACAAGAAGCCACCAAGTTAAGATACCACTGACCAAGGAATGTAAAAAGAAATTCCTTCAGAAATTTAAAAGCCCTAGGTCTCTGTGATATGGTTATACAATAAAGCTGATGCAGTATCTACAATAAAACACCAAGAACAATTTGCAGGAACATGCTCTTGAAAGCACAAGATCCTCAGATCAGAGGAAAAGGTCTCAATTTGTACAACTACCCAAGCTGATAACAAGTGCTTTAAAGGAGGGGTCGGGGAAGAGAGAACCACTTATAACAGAATCTGTTTATTAGGAAGCACCAAAGCAGCAGAGAAAATAATAAATTACAGAAAACGCATGAAAGAAGTCTTTGCTTTTGCTCCTGCTTCCTTTAGGTATTACCATGCTTAAAAGGCAACAGACTTCATTAATTCAGACCGACATATTCCATTTCACTAGTTATATTTAAATAACGATTTTATCACCATTAAAATCACTCACACATACTAATTAAGGACCCAGGCCATGATCTAACAAAGATATATGCTGCACATGGATAAACCCCTGGGAGCAGGCAAAAGTTGCTTTAGAATTTTCACCTCTCCTACCGCTGAAGAGGCAAACCAACTGCCTATTTAAAAACCAGCTTGCCTCTTCAGCAGCAAGAATGGTTCTCCCTCATATACGTGCAGTTTTGCTAGTTCAAAGTTCCACTTTCCACATGCAGATATAATCCCAAATTGTAGGATAGAAGAAGAGTTTGGATTTGATATCCCGCCTTTCACTCCCTTTAAGGAGTCTCAAAGCGGCTAACATTCTCCTTTCCCTTCCTCCCCCACAACAAACACCCTGTGAGGTGAGTGGGGCTGAGAGACTTCAAAGAATTGTGACTGGCCCAAGGTCACCCAGCAGCTGCATGTGGAGGAGCGGAGACTCGAACCCGGTTTCCCAGATTATGAGACTACCACTCTTAACCACTACACCACACTGGCTCTCTACATCTAGAAAAGATGTAGGAGACAATTTTACGAAACTATTGCTCCAAGCAACAAAAGCTCCACTTGTCAGCTCAGTGTATTTTACAGCCAAATTTTAAACTTATTTAAAAAGAAAAAGAGGGCAAAGAACACACTATGAAGAACTTGATAATGTTGCGGCAACAAGCCTCTTCCAAAGCAAACCACCTAAAGACTGGTGCATGTTCTAAAGGTTTTTAATGTTGTGATTAAATCTTAAATGTTATGCTCCATGCTAGAGTGCATCAGCAGTTAAGCAAACAAGCCACTACTAGGCTCTATGAGATCATCATTCAGGTTCTCAGCAATATTCTTATTTATAAGAGCAAAGGCACAAAACCCCAGTTAAATTCTGCATGCAATGAGGTTATATAACATGGCAAAACCATTTCATGAAGAAAATTAACTTTAAAAAAAGTTCAAGTTCTGAAAAGACCATATAATCTGGAGTTCCTCCCGACCACACACATACAATGACCACTTACGTAACTCTAGTCATATTACTTTGAAAATGCTAAATCATAACCTCTGCAGATTGTTTCCTGATAAGGATTCCTTCCAAATAAATGTAACTTAGCAAGAAGCAAAGGCGCACCATTAATTTCATCCATACATTATAATTTCCTCCACAGCTAGGTGCAAATTTTTTGGACGGGGGGGGGGGGGGACTCGACAGCCGCATTTTCTGAGAGCTATGTAGAATGCCAAATTGCACTACAGAAAAATGAAACAGAACAATGGGAAAGGTCCCATCAGTCAATTAAAACTCCACCACAAGACAAAGCCCTCTGTTCTCAATGCGCTCACCATTATTCCTTTGCCAAGTAGCTTCTGTATACAGTGACAGGTAGACAAAGCAGGCCTTTTTCCTACCCAAGGGTGATTATCCAACATTCTTCTTTAGAGTAGACCCATTGAAATTAATGAACTTCAGCCTGCTAATTTCAATGGGTCTACTCCAAGTATGGCCAGAGTTTGATATCCACCTCCTGACTTACCTGCAGAACTACACTTCTAGATTTCGGCTGGCGTTGCAAACTGCAGACAAATCTTGGGGGGAACAAGTACTGAAAGGGAAAATCTGTGGAAAGCATCCTGCTTTTCCCTCAGCCCCACAACAGGTGGAAGTACTGAAAGGGGTCCTAGATACTGCCACCCCCATCAGCCAGGTCCAATAGAAGTTTCCAAAGTGGAGATCACCTTCTGTTCAGCAGGGCTTAATAAGAAAATGACACCGCAACTAGGACAGGATTATTTTGTCCTTTCATTCAGCACTACAACATCCCACTGGGAAACCATTTTTTCTTTTCCCATCTTGCACATATGCCCCAAATGCATAGGCTCAGAGGTTTTCTCACATCATTTCACCCATTTCTTGCCCATTCCCCTGAAACCCCATTAATTTCCATTTCCTTCCATACAGGTGACTATTTTCCTCTTCCTCTTTTTACTTAAACCTGTGCCATCATTTCTCTCTTCCCAACCTGCTTGTTTTTTGTTTTGATTTTAATGCCAGTGTAAACCACAGGAGTCATCAAGTTCTCCCAACCCCATCATTTCTTGGTGCCATATACTAAGCTCCCTCTGACATTTTTGGACCCCTTCCTGATCTCAGTGCATCACAATTCCTGACTAGATCTGAATTCCATATCTTACAACCGACTTCGGCTATACAAATGCGCACACACCTCATTCTAGGTAGTAACACATCTCCAGATCTTACTGCCCTTTATCCTCTCCGATCTCAATTATTGACTGCAAAGGTCTATGAGATACCCTATCACCCCAGATACATTCTTGGAGAACCACCAGGGGTTTCCTACTGTCACCACTCCAATGAGGGAGGGGGAATCCCATCCCCCTCTCTACTAACACAAGACCTCAGAACTCAGTCTCCCATCGCACAGACAGATCCCCAAAGACAACCACACCCTAAACATCCCCTTACTTATAAAACCACACAGGTGCTATACAGGGAAACCACCTGGGAAGAGGTGCTCCTTTTTGAGCTCCCAAACTCCAGTGCAAGAAGGTGGAAGGCCTGGAGGTTGCAGGCCAGAGCCACCACCTCCCAACTGAAGGTGGGGCCACAGCCCCCCACCCTTTGGCAGAGATCTCTCCCCACCTCCATCTCCCATTTAAAAAGCCAAACCCTCAAGACACCCTCCTTATCCCAGTATCCTAAATCCCCACCTCTCTTGTAGATTTATAAAATGTGCAGGTGCTGGTAGGGAAACCACCTGGGGACTCCTTGGCAAGGGGGCTTGAAATCTCTTCCTAAAGTGTCATCCCAGAGCATCCCCCACCTGCAAGTGGGACCCCTCCCCTTATTTATAAAATGCATAGGTGCAGATAGGGAAGCCACCTGGGAGATCGTTAGCAACATCCAAACTCCTGCCAAGGGGGCTTGAAATCTCCCCTTAAGGTCCCATCTCAGATCCTCCCCCAGCTACAAGTGGGACCCCTCCCCTTATTTATAAAATGCAATGGTGCAGATAGGGAAACCACCTGGGGGGTCCTTAGCAACATCCAAACTCCTGCGCAAGGGGGCCTGAAGTCTCTCCCTAAGGGCTCATCCTAGAGCCCCCCCCACCTGCAAATGGGGCCAACCACCCCTTTAACCCTTGCGTGTGCGCGCGCGCTTCCCCCCTCCAAGCCCCCTCCCCGAGCCCCCCGCTTCCCCACTTGTCCCTTCCCGGCCCCCGTACCTGGCCGCAACGGCTCGGTGATGCTAAGTACCAGGAGGAAGAGGAGGAGGAAGGTGCCGCTGTCTGCCTTGGGCACCATTTATCCTCCGTTCATCCTCCCCCAGCGCAGCAACGTAAACCCCCCCGCGGGAGGGGGGCGGTGAGGGGAAAGGAAAAATAGAAACAAAAAAAGGCGTCGGAGGCGGCCTCCGCTGCTCCGTCACAGCCCCGGGAGCGAAGCGGGAGGCGGGGAGGGGGAGGAATCCGGAGAGCTCGCCAAGTCGCAGGGGCCGTTCAGCCCGCCTGGCTCGGCTGACTGGCTATAGCTGCACGCACAAGATGGCGGCCGCGTCTCCCCTGCTCCTCCTGAGGCGCCGCCCCCTCTCCCTCCTTCGCCGCCGCGCGTCTCGCAGCCAATAGGGAGGCGGGGGCGGGGCCTCGGAGGCGGAGCGATCTGCATAGGCGCGTGGGGTAATGAGGGGCGCGTAGTTCTCGCTGTGAAGGAGCCTCGGGGGCGGGGGGAGAGGCGAGGAGGCTCCGTCCACACGCATGCGCGATCGAGCGAGCGCGCCTCCCTGAGTTTGCAAAGCATATGGAGTGCGCAGTTGAGTTCAAGGGGGATTAATCCCTGCCAGGTATGCTGGGGTGCGGCTGTTTGGACCACTTATAAAAGCCATCTCTTCAACTCCTCGAAAGATTCCAACAATGCTATCTCCGAAAAAATTTGCACATCACTTGGGAAGACAGAAACTGTATTAAACTTTGTATTGTATTAAATTTATTCTATTGTATTAAATTGTATTGCATTGTATTGTATTAAATTTGCATTGTATTAAATTGTATTAAATTTGGTTGGATTTGTAATAATTTGGAAAATTAATAAAAATAATTGTTTGGAGTGTTTGAGGACCGGGACATTGGCAGGGAAACCAAAATGCTCGTTTACAAAGATATTGTACCACCAACCTTACTGTATGCTTGTGAAACATGGACCACTTATAAAGGCCATCTCCAGCTCCTCGAAAGTTTCCGTCAACAGTGTCTCCAAAATTTTTTACACATTACTTGTGAAGACAGGCGAACTAATGCCAGTGTACTGGAAGAAGCAAATATCACTGTCATTGTCAAAGCAATGATTCTTCAACATCAACTTCATTGGACTGGTCTTGTTGTGTGGATGCCCTATATAATGTTATATTTATTTATTTTATTTTAACTGAAAAATAATTTTTTTTAAAAGGGGGAAAGTGGTGGGTATATGGTTATCCCTCTCCTCATTTAATCCCACAACTACCCTGCAGGTAGGTTAGGCTGAGAGAGTGATCGGCCCAAGGTCACCCATTGAGCTTCATGGTTGTGTGGGGATTCAAACTCTAGACTCCTAGTTCCTTAGTCTTCACAATCTAAGCACTGCACCTCACTGACATCAGGCAGGTGCCTTTCACTGCACTCTTCCTAGAGCACCTGCTGTTAAGTTGTGAGTGAACATATCAGACGACACAGCGATTCTTCAAACAGCTCTTGTTTATTCACAGGCACAGAACTGAACTGAAGGGTTCAGCCAGCCTGCTTATATAGAGCTCCACTACAACGCAACAGTAACCATTTTCTGTAACTATCCAATCACTGAACGTCACTTTCGATCCCTTATTTGCATATGTGGACCTGAGTGAAAACTATCTACAGTATCCCCCTGCTGGCCCAGGGTGAGAACTTCAGTACATAACACCTGCTTAATACCATTTTTGTGTAGACAAGCCTACCCATATATCTTGAATGTTGACGTGTGCCTTTCTAGTTTATTGTTGATTTCAATCATTCTGAAATAGTTTTAGCTGTCTGTTTTTGACAGTTTTTACTGATACAATTTCATTGTTTTATTCTTTTGGTAAATGCTTTGAGGCTTTTTACAATCGAGCAGCATGAAATAAAGAAAAATGGTCTGGTACAGTGATTAGGGAAGAAATGGAGGCAGTGAGAGATTTTACTTTCTTGGGCTCCATGATCACTGCAGATGGTGACAGCAGCCACGAAATTAAAAGACGCTTGCTTCTTGGGAGAAAAGCAGTGACAAACCTAGACAGCATCTTAAAAAGCAGAGACATCACCTTGCCAACAAAGGTCCGTATGGTTCAAGCTATGGTTTTCCCAGTAGTGATGTATGGCAGCTGATCGCCGAAGAATTGATGCTTTTGAATTATGGTGCTGGAGGAGACTTGAGAATCCCATGGACTGCAAGAAGATCAAACCTATCCATTCTTAAGGAAATCAGCCCTGAGTGTGCACTGGAAGGACAGATCCTGAAGCTGAGGCTCCAATACTTTGGCCACCTCATGAGAAGAGAAGACTCCCTGGAAAAGACCCTGATGTTGGGAAAAGATGGAGGGCACAAGGAGAAGGGGACGACATAGGACGAGATGGTTGGACAGTGTTCTCGAAGCTACTAAAATGAGTTTGACCAAACTGCGAGAGGCAGTGGAAGACAGGAGTGCCTGGCATGCTCTGGTCCAGGGGGTCACGAGTCAGACACGACTAAACGACTAAACAACAACACAGTGATTAGAGCAGGGGTGGGGGACCTTTTCCAGCCTGAGGGCCGCATTCTATTGTAGGCAACCTTCCAGGGGGCCACATAGTTAAGCTATGGAACTCAATTCCACATGATCTAGCGTCTGCCACCAATTCGGATGGCTTTAAAAGAGGGTTAGACAGATTCATGGAGGGAAAGGCTATCAGCGGCTAGAAGCCATGATGGCTCCATAGCTCCATAGCTGGAAACTCTGGCTCCATAGCTGGAAGCTGTAATGCTTCTTTAATACCAATTGCTGGAAACTCTAGGAGAGGGAAGTGCTTTTAATCTGTGTATGAGCTGGATGGGTGATTGTTGCAAGAGGCAAGAAGTACCAGGGGGGTGAGAGGTTGTGAAATTCTACAAACAGGTGCTCACAACATCCAAGGGTTTCACAGAGCCCCAGGGCCCTTCCAGATGGCATGTTTTATTTGTTGGGCATTCACCCTGATTTGTTGGAGGGTGGGGGTTAGACAATGTTGCGTCAAAGCAAGTGTTACTCCACACTTTGCAGGGCATTTCCCCATTTCCATATTGCAAAAAGTCTGATCTTTTGGGGAAGTGGGTTTTATCTCCCAGTCAACCATCTTATTGTTATTTCTTATTATGTACTGAATTTATATTGTGCCCAGCACAGCAAGCCTACTGCAAAACAAAGCAAAAACAATACAAAACGAATTACAATTTAAACAATTTCTAAAACACGATTGCATTTTCCAGTCTTTTTTTTTCTCTCTCGTAGAAGGATTCCTTGCTCTTCCCACAGGGGAAAAAAATTCTCCATTGCTTATTTCCATATGATTGATATAAATTGAGCCAAACTTTGTAGTTTCCCATGCTTAATGCTGTGAAAACTGCTCCCGGCTCTTAAAATATATGGGTTGTATCCAATGACAGCCCTACTCAGATTAGACCCACTGCCATTATAGGAAATAGAACCATTACTGAATATAATGTAGTTGGATAAAACCCTATATACTGTATATATGCACTGGGGCAGCCTGGCAAGACATAGGAAGCTGTCTCATAAAGACTCAAATATCTAGCCTAGTATTGTCTTCACAAACCAGCAGTAGGATTTCAGCTCCAGCTGCAGCACCAGATTTAGGGCAGTGCAAAATAACAACCTATACAGTGGTACCTTGGGTTAAGAACTTAATTTGTTCTGGAGGTCCATTCTTAACCTGAAACTGTTCTTAACCTGAGGTACCACTTTAGCTAATGGGGCCTTGTGCTGCCGCCGCACGATTTCTGTTCTCATCCTGAGGTAAAGTTCTTAACCTGAGGTACTATTTCTGGGTTAGCTGTAACCTGAAGCATCTGTAACCCGAGGTACCACTGCATTTACACAGGTACCTACTAGAAGATCCATGAAAAAGCAGCTGTACCAAAAGAATTATTGTGAAAATAAGAAATATTTAGGGGAGGGCTGCCAAATTTTGTCCTTGTTCAGGGAACCATTTTACCAAATTTATCTCCCTCCCGGACCATAAAGAAGGCTGATCGCCGAAGAATTGATGCTTTTGAATTATGGTGCTGGAGAAGACTCTTGAGAGTCCCATGGACTGCAAGAAGATCAAACGCATCCATTCTTAAGGAAATCAGCCCTGAGTGCTCACTGGAAGGACAGATCGTGAAGCTGAGGCTCCAGTACTTTGGCCACCTCATGAGAAGAGAAGACTCCCTGGAAAAGACCCTGATGTTGGGAAAGATGGAGGGAACAAGGAGAAGGGGACGACAGAGGACGAGATGGTTGGACAGTGTTCTCGAAGCTACCAGCATGAGTTTGACCAAACTGCGGGAGGCAGTGGAAGACAGGAGTGCCTGGTGTGCTCTGGTCCATGGAGTCACGAAGCGTCGGACACGACTAAACGACTAAACAACAACAACAACCCCCATGCTACCTGTGAATTCCAGGCATTGAACCAGGGACCTTCCGCTACAAGCAGTTACTACAAATTGTGGTGATTCCACTGCTGCCAATGAAACAGCATGAGGTCCAAGAGATGTGCCCCAGAATCCTTTGCCGTGCCTAATCCAGTCACCTTCCACACATGTATAGGACGACCCCAGTTTTTTGACATGATTTTTGAGTCAGAAAACCTCGTCTAATACACGGAGAAATACGGTACCAACTTGGATGGCTTTAAATGAGACAACTCCATGGAGGACAAGGGTACCAGCGGCTCCTAGCCAGGATGTTCCAGCTTCACTGTCAGAAGCAATATGACCCGAAAACTGCCGGAGGGGAGAGGGCTTTTGTGCTTGGGTACTGTGTTGGGGCTTCCCATAGGCATCGGCCCCCGTGAGAACAAGGATATTGGACGGGATGAACCACAGGCCTGATCCACCAGAGCTCCTCTTATGTTCTTGTTATGTACTGAAGTTCTCACCCTGGGCCAGCAGGGGGATACTGTAGATAGTTTTCACTCAGGTCCACGTCAGTTATTTTAGGCGGGAAACCCTGGGTTGTTGTTGCTACAATGTTGATAGCTGGCTGCCTATAAAAGCAGGCCGGCTGAGCTGTTTTGGAGAAATCGCTGTGTCGTCTGCCATGTCTACCCACTATTCAACAGTTCTTATGAGAGTCAGAGAGTCAGAGTCAGAGAGAGAGAGAGAGAGAGAGAGAGTGTAGAGGCTGTGACGTTAACATATGAGTGCTGGAGGTGAAATAGTTAAACAGGTTACCTGTTATGTACTGAGTTGAATAGGATCCAATATGCAGCAGTCTGATTGGTCCTAGAACAATAGGATTCAGAATGCAGCAGTCTGATTGGTCCTAGAACAATAGGATCCAAAATGCA